CTATCCCCTTGCAAACACAGACTAAAGGCTGAACTCATTGAGGAGGTAAATATCAGGTGGGCTGTGGAAACCACTTGCCATATTACCAGGAAAATTTAGCCAAAGATTGATGTAAGACGATCCTTAGATCTTACTCGGCTGGGCCGGTCTTCTCTCAGATTAATAGTCCGGGTAATCACCGGACACGGCCTGATGGGCACACAGGTAAAAGGTTAGGATACCCTACCAACGATTTTTGTCGCAGTTTCAGGGACGAGGAGGAGGAGGAGGAGGAGGAGACCATCGAACCCCATCTCTGCCATTGTGCTGCCGCGCAACCAATTCTTCAACAAGCGCACTCAGTAGTTCAATTACTAACGGAGCGAAAGAAACAAGTCAATCATTTCTTGAGAGAAGATAGTAACGTTTTTTTTTAATGCTGAAAAGCGAATCCGAGATATCAAATTAACCCACATACTTCACCCTCTCTCGGAGTATAAGTGGAATACCAATGTTAGAGGTGGAATAGCTATTTTATGTTTCTTCGTAAAAAGAGCGAGCTCCTTTTTACGAGGCTTCACGGTTAGTTCACAATTCGTAACTCTCTTTACAACAAAGTTCAGGTATCTTTGCATAAATTTATACAGGGTGTTTAAAAACTTCCATCTAACAATTAGCGCTAGGTGCTGACAGCGCCTTATTACCAGAGGCTCCAACAGGTCGTTGACTCACTCTTCTCTGGATAGACACGCTGCCTTACTCCGTTGGGAGTGATTTCGTTGCATCGGTAGGCTCAGTTTATGTAGAGAATACATTATTAAACGGAAGGTACCGACCGTGCCATTCGTGGGAGTTTTCTGAGCTAGACTTCGCTTTTGTTTTCTTTCACCGGACAAGTGTGGCGGATGTTGGAATAGCCATAACTCCCCATTAGCTTCCGTCAGGCAAAAAGTGGCGGTGCTGATCTTTTGAATAGTTTTATATAGGCGCAGATTCTAAAAGAGGATTTCATCAAGATTAACTCACAGATATCCCACATCTTTAAGGAAAGGTATCTTTCCTAGTGGCAGAAATGGTTCCAGGAGTAGCAGCTATTAGAGCGGTTGATGCGAGTACTTAATGGCGAAAACTTCGGAGTCAGAACTCCGCGTTTTAACTCTTTTCTTTTAAGTTTTTCATCTTCAAAGTACTTAAAATATCGTATGATTTCATATATCAAAAAACCTAGTTATATATACTCCACTGGACGCATTAAACAAAACGAAAAATAATCAGTATTAAATTGTGTACTAGCATTTTTTAGAAAGCTTTTTTTTT